CTTCTAAGTGTGATAGGAGAGAATTAATACTGGTGTTTTCACAAAAATGTTTTAATTCGGGTGAATAGCGATTTTTCATACCACCACAGAGTAAATGGATTTTTAAGCTACAAGAAAGCCCACTAACTGAATGAACCAATCTTCTTTTCAAATGTTTGACTACTGCGTACCACCTCTGGCAGTCAGCTTACTATCTGTGACAGGTTCCCTGCGCGTTTGAGGTAGATTGTAGGAGATTTCGGTCATACAATCTCTTGTAACATAAAATTCCATCAACATTACGGTAAAGGTAATGGTCACTAAGAATAAATATTCAGATTTCTTACCTATTGTGTAACTGAAGAGAGTTATGCTGTTGCCTGTATTCTATATATTACAAAAGTATCCAAACATTTTGTCACAGTTTGTTCGAGAGGAAAACGTGTATTGGCAGTGTCACATGAATATAAACTGCTAGACATCTCACCGACAAATATCATCCGTAGTTGACTCAGGTTTTCCCATTTTCGAATCACCTACAACATAAAGCATAAACGAGATACTGAAAGAAACTTTTTAAATTGTTCTTAGGCTTATGGAGCTGCAGCGTATCCGTCTACGCTCTCTAATTTCAGCCAGTGGGTTATGCTTTCGAATCATCACCATCATCATCCATCAACATAGGACCAGGCATTTCTGCGTAGAGGTCCGAGTTGCCACACCTCAAATCAGTACATCAAATGAAAAGTTACTGAGGTGCAAGATGAAGATTAGAAAATTCAGTCAAAAGAAATATAACGTAATAAAGGAGAGAAAGGAAAAATGAGAAAGTGGTGAGATTTGGTATAGCCTCGTTAATATGAGGATAATGTATGTATACATCTGCGCCGCTCACATCGGTTCTGAGCCATATCACCTAGAGTCTCCAGCCACTGGTTCCTCTTGTCCCACGGACCCCAACTGACTAGTCTGCATCGCCCCACATGGCTCAAACCAACAGTCAAAGACTTCATACATTGGTGCCATGTTTTAGTCTGGCCACCTCGGGCCTTTTTTCAGTCTAAACCTACTTCAGCCAACATTGTGTGACGAAGCAATCGGCGACTAGGCATACGTAATACATGTCCCAACCAGCTATCTCAGTCGATAAAGGTTCACAACCTCGTCAAACGACTTACCTCTTCTCCCTAAAACTCTACACTTGACTTCTGCATTACTCATGTGGTGGCACCATGGAATACGGCCTATACTACGAAGGCAATGGTGGTCAAACACTTGAGGCTTTCTCATGTCTTCCACCTTCAATGGCCATGTTTTACAGGTATACAGCAGAACAGAGTGAACTGCTGTGCAGTACTCGCGACCCTTAATGGATGATAGGATATCACAGCGGTGCCACAGGTGGCGTAAGTTGGCAAAAGCCAACCTAGCCTTTCGTATTCGTGCAGAGATTTCATCGGCCGCTGAGCCACCAGGGCTGATCCTACTTCGCAGGTAAGTGAAGTGGTTGACACACTCAACCATTACACTCTCCGTTGTTAGTCGTGGTACCGTTGAAGACCAATCCTGGAGCAACAGTTTGCATTTGTGTAGCGAGAAACGCATCCCAAACGTTCTCAGTTTGCCAGTCAAGGTATCCAGAAGACAACTGGTCAGCATCTTGTCAGCGTCTTCACCTAACAGGACTATGCAACCTGTATATTCTAGGTCTAACGAAAATTCTCCTGCGATTAGGTCAATCTCTGTGTATTCAGGTGATGATAGGGAAACCTCCACAAGAATACTTATGATAAAATTGAATAAGAATGGAGATAGTGGGCACACTTGATGGACACTACTCGTTGAGCACAGCTCCTCGGATATCTAACCATAGGCTCTAACACACCCACAAGTGTTCGAGTAGAGAGCCTTCAGTAAGGTAACGTACTTACTCGGCACGCATTTCAGTGAGGGATGTTGCCATAAGACCTCGATCAACAGAGTCGAATGTCGCCTTCAGGTAGAGAAATACGGCTAGTGTTGGGCGTCGATAAGCGTGCCTATATTCCGGAGCCTGGCTAAGTGTGAATATTTGGTCAGTACACCCGCTGCCGGGTCTAAAGCCTGCCTGGTTTTCCTAGGATTGTTGTTCCCGAGCTCCACTCAGGCGTCGGAGAATTATAGAACTTAGAATCTTAGACACCATGTTCATCAGGCTGATTCCCCTGTTGTTACCACAGTAGGACTTCTCGCCTTTCTTGAAGACTGGAATAATCAGTGATTTAGACCAGTCAGATGGGATCGTATTTGATTCCCATATACTAGTTAGCATTTCCGTTAACCTGACTAAGAGCGCTCTACCTGTATACAGCGGGAGTTAGTCCATCTGGTCCAGCTGCCCTTCCTCGTTTCAAGTTACTTACAGTTTTCCCGACTTCTGTTAGTGTTGGGGAAGCCTATCTCAATGTTCCATTCAGGATTCGACTGGATAGCAGGCAACGCAGTGATGGCTGGAGGCCAGTTAAACGTTTCCTCGAAGTGTTGTGCCCATCGTTTTAGTCGTCTTCTCTGTGAGTGAATCTCAGATTCATTCTTCCCCGCTATAGTCTTACTAACTGTTGTTGACCTTTTCCACCCAGTTTCCTTAATAAGTCTAAATGACTGTCTACTGTTACCAGTCGCCGCCGCCTTTTCTATCTCTTTAGTCTTCGCTACCCACTACTGTTCGCGGTCGTTGCGCAGACTTTTTCAGAGTCTACCTTTAAGTTGTGCCCGCTCTTCATTGTATTCAGAGCCTGCAGGAATGCGTTCACGTGAATGCATTAGCTCAGAAGAAGCTGCTGATATACACTGGCTCTTTTGACCCGCTCTTTTTTAGTCGGCTACGGTCTTCAGCACTGCTTTTACGGTAGACTGGAGATGGCACCGAGTTTCTTTTGGGTGAGTGATAGTCTTCTGTTCCGATAACTGCCTAGCCAACTTCTCACTGAACACGGCTTTGGTGTTTTTGTTGTCCAGCAGCACTCGTAGTGGTTTTTTGCCAAATGTTTCCTACGTCCATTGAGACGTAGGCATGCACTAGCTCGAACCAACACGTGGTCGCTATCCAAACACGTACTCCAGGAGGAGCGGCAGTCTTCCACCGATCCTCTCCAGCGATGACTAATAGCAATGTGGTCTATCTGTGTCCATCAATGAGTTGAGCTAGGTGGACGTCACGTCAAACAGTGTCTTTCTTTGTGTCTGAAATTTGTGCTAACTAAAAATAAGTGTTTATCTGAATACAGTTGTAGTATGCTATCACCGTTATCTGTTTGTTTAACCGGGATTCCGAAAGTGCCACCTAAGCGCCTTTCTGCCCAACTCGTTCCACCCACCTGTGCATTGAGATTACCTGCAACAAGCACCACGTCTGAATGTTTGGTTTTTGAAAGGAGGGTAGACAGTTTACGGTAGAACTCGTCCTTCACTTCATCGGAACTGCAGTCAGTGGGTGAGTAAGCAGAGATTACAATGAGACAACGGCGAGTTTCATCATTCTTTTTAGTTCTCAGTCAGTCGTTCAGTCGGATAGAGCAGAGGCGACTATCAACTGGGATTCAGTCTAGTAGTGAGTTTTCTGCCCTAGTACTTAGTGCTATGCCTATGCCTGCAAGACCGCAAGAGCCAGTCACTGAATGTTCAGAAACTCTAAGAGTGAGTTTGGAGGACTCACCAAATTGTCCGGTAGAGGTTAGGTGAATAACCACACTTGGGTCCTGCATGCTAGTTTCAAAAACACGGCACACGTCCATGGGCCGAGTTGCTAGAGTCTTTGCTAATGAAGTCTGTTGACCAGTTTGACGAAGTGTTCGAACGTTGTAGGCCCTGATGTGTAATTTGGAGCGTAGTTTAAGGAGACCAAGGATGCTGTTTTGTGGGTTCAGATCGTTGTCGAAGGCTGCAGAGCTAGGATAAGTTGAAGATGATGTAGTATCGTTAATTGAGAGACGTGAAGGAAGATTGGAAGGTAATGATGGGGAGGTGGATAGTGGTCTGAGGGAACTTGGGTGCTGATATAGTTGTGAGGGCGGTTGACATTTCCCGGCTTCCCACTCCGAGGAAGGCTTTTCCTTCTTAAGGTACCTGAGACAGATTTTTGTGACGCCAGAGTCCATCGGACACCTGCTTGGGTAGTACGACTTCGCCCTCAGACCCCCATCATAGTGTAGTAATTTGCACCACAATGGTAACTGCTTTTCGTCCAATCACTATCTAACAGACCTTTCTGGTATGGTAGGACCTCAGGGGAACAAGTGTCCCGCCAGCATATCTCGTTGGATCATTGTGATATGCAAGCCAAACTACCACGTCAAGGTAGCAGATATCGGTCGGGAGAAACTACCAAACATCCCTTCATCTTTCGATATTTAGGCAGGTAGGTAGTATGGTTATGTGTTACAACAAATATATGGCTAGTGAACAACTGCAGAATGCGTCTGTAGTTGTTTAAAGTGTTTATATTTCGATTCTTAGTCCTTGGCTCCTTTCTGATGCACAATCTATGCTTTTATACATTAAAATAGTAAGGTAATGAATTCAAATGTACAACTGTCTCATTCACTTGACAATGTGGATAGAATTGTTTACAACTAAGATCAACAACGATAATAAATGACGAAAAAGAAAAACTTGAAAGTATATACAAAATAATACCATGATACAGCTGTTTTCACAACGCTTCCAGAACAGATGAACAAGATACTCTAGATGTATGACTGAACGAGTTTACCTTGTTTTGCCTTTGTAGCACTTTTTTAACGCAATTTTTATTGGCCGAAAGGAAGAGGTGGATAATGAACATTCAGATATGAATGACAAAAAGTGGAACGTCAGCCAGAAGCAGACTCACTGTGTATCTCATCAATTTCTGCGAATATTTTCATAGGTTTTTAGTAATTTATCAAAATTATAGAGTAAATTTTGCAAACACGGACAGGTTGATAGCTTAAAAATCAAAATTTATGCTCGCTTTATAATCTTCTATAATTAATTTTATCTAGATGTATCCGGTCATGCACGTTTATGGCACTATACGGCAGCTATGAAATCATCACGCCTGCTGGCTACTTTTAGAGAAGAACGAATAGGTAATCCATCTGATGCTCCATCAAGAATTAGTTCTGAGAAACCTATGAATCAAATACTTTCCATTTCATGTTCACATGATGGTAAACGGTTTATAACTGGTGGTGACGACTGCCATCTTCGAGTCTATGATTTGAAATCTCGTACACTTTTGCGTGTATGTAGTTCAAGGTAAGCAATAAGTCAGTGATACTGATTACCAAATATTTTCCCTGCTTACAATTTCAAAAATTCCTATGATATAGTTAAAGAATTGAACTTACCTAATCAAAGTCATTTTCGAGGTTTATTGGGATTTATTTATTGATTTCAAGTTGGTATTTATCATGGACTAACATCATACCGACAGCCTGAAATCAATAAATAAATTCCCTTAAGCCTCCAGATTGAATTACTATCCAGTCCTCAACAGTGAGATTTCTGAAGTTTTAATGAGAATTCGTGACCTGTAACCAAACCAAGGTGGTCATGAGGACAGTTAGTCAACGACTACATTGGATCACGCTGTATCACGAACAGGCAGTAGAAAAATGCGAACCATTAGACTCTGACCCACTGGTTGAGTGATAATTTGTTGATGTTAGTTTATGCTTGAAATTTTTCCAATTGTTTATTTGTTGATTATTTAGTTTGAAGGAGAGGTATTTGTATCATACTGATAAATGGGAACTAACAGTGTCATTTTCGATACTTTAGCTGAAATAAAAGCGTTCAGATTACCTTTCACATATAGTTAACCACTAGTATTTTACAATTCACAGTCATGTTTGTTAAATAGTTGGAAACATATATCAGTAGACAAAATAAGTGATCTTGTTTATGATTAATCAAAGAAATCAGAGTCTGATTGAAATCGGACTACCTTTTCACATACCTTCCACTCATAATTAGTGTAATCCTAATCATAGGCTATTCAGAATAATTGTATTTTAAATATGCATTCATATAAAAGTTGTTTACAGTTAGTGGTACAACGGTAACGAGAAAAATTATCCTTAGTGTTAGTTTTTACACGAAGTTAAAAGGTAAGTGAAAATAGAGAATTAATAATTATGAGGAGGATTATTATTACGTGTAGGTGACAATTAGAGCTTGTAGTTCACAATTGTACTTGTTTGGTAACCATGAGGAATGAAATCTGGATTGTTTTTGAAATTAGTTTGTGTTATTCAACTAAAGAATGCTCAAAAGTTAAGTAGAAAAAATTTTGACACAGAAATCATGACTATCCACAAATCAGAATCAATATAAAAAATATACATCAGCTACAATTGACTGTCAAGCTACATATTAAACATTTACGATGAGGGAAAAGTTATGTTAACCTGTAACCTGGTTTTCCTCAGCTTTATTCACTCGCTTAAATGAGTGCGGAGGAAACAATAACTTGTCTGTACTCAAAAACAAATAGCCTCAAACGGTAAGTGCTAAATATTTTTATTGATTCCCACATACTAGCAATTAACAACAGTGTATATTGCAGTAGATTTGAATGTGTGGTAAAAAAGCAGGCAGAGAGATAAGTGATTAAGTTTACTGAAGCCTTAGTCATCCGTAAATTCAAGTCCTCTTTATATATCCAAACCAGACTGTACCTACTGCTTACTACTTCATATTTCATACTTGGAGTTATATGCTTCAGAATATTTTGCTCCTTTCTCTGCATTTATTTTTATAACTTTTATACTCCTTTTTGACTTGGATTGATTAAAGTTTCAAGTACATAATTTAGTAACTTCATTTATGATTAGGTTGCTAAAAATGCATAACACATGTGCTACTTATTTAAGATAATTTTTGTCCTCATATTAAACTATTTAAAAACAACATTAATTATTTTCATTAGATGCATAGGAGTCTCTAAACACATTGACAGTGATAATTGGATCATAATCGAAAACTCGTAATGGGTTTACTAAACTAACCCTAAATGTGATTTATAACAGTTAGTTATTATTCCGCTATTTTGAGAAGGTGAATTTTAAACTACTAAGGATACTTTGCATTATTTTCATATTGCTCTTAAATTTTGGTCCACTGAAACAAAAGGTTTACATGTAACTCGTTTAGTTTTCGGGTTTATACACAACATTTGTCTACTTGGCAGATTAGTTCATTATTATGATGAAGAATGTTCGTAGCTCGAAAGAATGAATTTGATCATGTTGACTTTTCTCAGTTGGATAGTTTAACCGTTGAGTTCCACTACTATTTTAAAAGACACAATCTGCATAAACTTTGAAAAGAAATGAGCCATGAGAATTTCTCCGCAAATGGTTTGGTGGCTTAATATAATGACCTTGAAAGATAACAGTTGTTCCCACTGCCGTTTCGCCTTTTGCTTGTACTCGCACTTCGATTAGCTGTCCTATCAACGTAAACTCTAATGTTAATGTTATTCTTCATGTTTGTTATTGGGTGACAGTTAGGATCAGTGTCAATAAGTCTGCTGGTCACTGACCTAACAAAATGCGAAGATTTTAACAATTCTCCAGCATTCTAGGTATTTCCTCAATCCAAGGTTTCAATATTTAGCTAACCGAATTCATGGGCACAGTTGTCTGTATGCATTGATAGAGACGGAGATATATCGTAGCACTTCACTCTTAGTTAATATTCATGTAGACGGATACGAAGTGGGCGACCACTCTCTTCAGTGTTATGTTGGCTTGCTACGCTGATAACATTTGACTTATCTCCCTTTGTTAATGGACTTTTTGGCCTGAATAAAATGGGATGAAGAGATTTTGAAAGTTTGTGAAATGCTGTGATTCTGAAAAATTTCAGACATTATTCATGTTGGAGTAAGATAATATATCATAAAAAGTAGGTTTGTGTACTTATCTGTACATCCCATTCCAGTTTTAGATGCAAAGGTAGAGAAGTAAAACAAATGAGAAGGAATTACTTTCTAAAAATATGAGTTTAGTAATTTATATATTTCGTCATGACCAACATTTCAGCGAAAATATAGGAAGGAAAAATCACTGAGACAAGTATATTTCGTATTATTGACTTTTTTACTAAAGGTAACTACCGCTGGAATCACTTTTAATGAAAACTGTTGCTGCTAATTATTCACGAGATGAAAATGACGCTGGATGAACAGAAACCAAATAGGTGTCTAAATACTGTAAATTTTTACCCTTCCCAGAAAATTACTGTTTGTTATCCAGACAATATAGCTAATTTTACTGAAGCAATAGCAACAAGTGTAGCAGAATACAATGATGTTACGGTGTTTCAACTGTGCACAAACTTAATAAATTACAGGACGTATATAGAGAAGAACTGATTTCGTAGTCAATTTCTACTTTATTTTCACGGTTTTACTATCTGACTCAAAAACAAGTTTTAACTTAACCCATGTTCAATTTTAATTTTATTTTAACGTTACCAAAGAATTTCAAATACAGGTAATCTTAATTATCCCATTTTTTAACTCATGAAATGTAGCAAAGTGACAATAATGCTATACCAGTACCAGATAACTTTGACTTTATTCTGTAATTCATTTCATTCGAACTTCCCTAATCTGTATGATTTCCTACATCATTTTGCATCAGTAGATTATCTTCCTCTCAATCATCACGTCATGAAGGTTACATTTCTTTCTATGTATTTTGTGATTTTCACAGCTTATGTGCAAGTGAAAAAAGGAGTGAAGAAATATCATGAATTCATTGTTTCTTCAAAAATTTTATGTTCCCGGTTCACTAGAGTTTGTGAAGGGAGTCGATTGTACAAGAATAATCTAATTTCTGTGCGGTAAAGATAAATGCTGTTTTTTAACCGCATACTTTTCTGCAGCTAGAATGTTTCGTAACATACGATTATGTTATAATAAGCAAACGTCTTATTAAAATAGCGAACTAGGCAAAGGCAGTTTAATCAACTGTTGCTTAAGTAACTGGATAAATAACTGAAGGACTGGAAATTTGATAACGAAACCATATTTTGTGTACCATGACTTATTGATTATTTTCACTTCACTTATTGTTTCAATGTATTTGATGAAGTTTCTCTAAAGAGAAGATGGATGGACATGTGAGGCGCATTTGTGCAGTGAAATATCATCCACGTGGAGCTGTTTATGAAGATTACGTTCACATTTTCATAACTGGCGGTTGGGATGACACCATACAAATATGGGATGATCGATACTTACATTCACTATGGTAAGTGGCTATTCATTTACATTCTGTTTGTGATTTCTAAGTGAAAAATAAGATAGGGTGTTGTTGTTATTATTACGAAAAACTTATTTCTGAAACAAAAATATTCAAACCCAAACTTAAGATAGTTTCACGTCGACTCAAAAATGTCTTAGAAAAGGCTTTATGCAATTTCAGTTATTATTTATTCAAAAAGAATGGAGACAGATGAATCCTGATAGGTGGTTTGAAATACTTCCATAAAATAGTCGTCTTACCAATACTTTATATCCTATCCTTCACAGCAACTTATTTTCTGCGTAAACCTATTGAGTCAGTTTCATGAATACACTAAATAGTGTTGATACCTACGCAATACGTATGTGTAAATCACTACAGTTGCTGGTTACTAGAGAAAAGATTTAGCTATTAGACTAGTATGCTTTTATGTACTATGTTGCTAAGACATATAAGTTCATTAGACAATTCTTCTATATTTCTTGATTTCTTGCAACTGTCTAACGGAAACAAGAAAGTAGAGCACAACATGTAAAATATGCAGCTGATGGATTTTTATCTCATTTCCGATGATACTTTGCTCATTGAACTAAATGCTTATGTCATGTAAAATTCTTTTTCATCCTCAATAACACAGCACTATCGTTAAATATAGGCAGAATATTAGTTCAACTATGTCATTTGAGAGAAAGTTTATCTGATGTATCTTCCTACACCATTATATTACACAGCGTCACTTACTTGGTGACAGTCTTTTGCAAATGAAAGGACGATTCATGACATTAAGTATGTTGCCTGGGCATTGAAACACACTAAAATATGTTCAAACTATGGTTGAAAAACGATTACATGTAATTAAATGAACTAGAAAACTACTCAGTGGATTTAATTGTCATTCGTTGGGTATATATAACACAAATTGAAGTTGATTTAATAACCAGTAATTTTCTCGCCTTTGACTGGACTGAACTGACAGGCCACTAGTGGTTTATCGAGGCCGATTAACTCGGCCTAGTCAACGATGGAAAATTGCAGGCTCCAGCACTATATATATATATATATATATATATATATATATATATATATATATATATATATATATATATATATATATACAAGAGCAATGACCTTGAGTTAGGTTCAGAAATTTCCGCTTCCGGAATATTGTGAACAAACAAGTAAAAGTACGTAACACTAGGTAGTTCTTATTTCTAAGTTAAACGCTTAAGGACAGAATACTTTCTGTCTTCAATAGTGTTTTCTTTTCATGATGCTTATTCTTTGAAAAAGATTGACAATGTATTTCATATAGTTTACCTTTCATATTTAAACTAGTGTTGAGAAAGTATTGGCTAGAAAGTCTTACAATGATAGTATTTTGACCTACTATTAGACTGTTTTTGAAGTACTGAAGCCTCTGAGGACAAGAAAATACATTTAGCTTTATTTAAGCGATAGATTTCCTAAAAATGTGAATGGTAAATTATTTTTTCAAAGTAAGATAGTTTGAATAGATTGCATTCTCCATGAATTCTGATACACATTAAGTTCGAGAAGTTGTACACTGTTTTTATTTACAATGAATTTCAGTTTATTACTAGACATTACTGAAGCATGATTTAGTTCTCCTTCATATTTGACAGAATAAACGTTAATACTGGGTGGTGATTCAAGGTGAATTGAAATTTTGGACCGCGGCGGATTCGAAACGGTGACCACCGGGTTTCTGGGCCGATGCTCAATCAACTGAGCTATAAGACCCAACTGCTGACCAGATTTTCATTTCACTTCAATCATCAAGGGTTTTGCCCGACTACCATGTGAATTCTAAACGCTTGATCATATTTACACTGACTGTTTCCTAGTCAGAACTTATCATCCCAATCCAAATCTAGCTGAATCGGAGGGAGCGGGGAGCATCATACTGATTATCATTCTGACTCTCTAAGATAGCAGTGGTTTGACAAACTAGTATTGATACTAAGTATCAATAATAAAAATTAGCTAAGAAATAAATTTGTGATCTGAAAATTTTTGCTTCGAAATAAAAATAACAGAAAAGACTGTTGTTCACTACTGAGACAAAGTTAAGTTAGGACGTATAATTAAAAGTGAGATATTTATTTATTCACATTTTTTCGGGTCGACAATTCCTTCATACGTGTTTAGTGTCAGTTAATAGGAATCTATAAACTTAAATTTTGTCATGAATAGCACCCGCCAAAACGGAATATTTTGACTGTCTAAACAGTTCATGACTCAAATTTACAATAATCATTGATAAACTAAAGATCACACCACCCAAGTATTGAGATCAGTACCAAGTGGGTTTACAAATTTTTATATCCACCGATTACTCACTGAATAAAAACGTTGGGACTTGGAATGGGTCTCTTCTACACTCTTCAAGAAACTGAAATCCTCTGAATACATTAACAGTTGATTAACACATTGCAATGCTAAGCGGAAATCCCTCTATCATATGAGAGCGTGACTGGTTGAATAATAATACAATGAATTAGTCATAGGTACCCCTTAGAAAATTTTAGGAAAGCTAGGGTAAATGTAGGCAAATAATTCAGAAGTAATTTCTACATAATTTGTACATACATACTAATGCACCCTATGTCATTTAACCACATTTTCAAGTTTGAAGCATCGACCTATAAAATGCTCGAAATTTGAAAGTTATTGTACAACTGTTCGTGTGTGTATATATTCATTTAGGTTATATCACACAACCATCGAGCTGTCTGGTTCCCAGCCAAGTGAAATCTGTTGTTTTCGACACAATGTAAAACAGGTTTGAATCCATAAAGTAATATGGGTTTCTTGAATGTCGAAGCATGTTTAGCTGTTAAATACCATGGAATATGAAACTTAGATCTGAGGCTTAATGTCACATAACACGTGTTATTTAGTTCTCACTTCCTAAAGCATCTTAAGTCCGATCACTTTAGGTTAGATGCAATCAAACACTGCTCGGCTAACTGTGACTGAAGCGACTGGGGTTTTAATACCACAATTATTGTCCTCGATTCTTCTATTAAGTAGTAAAGCTACTTGTGTTTTTACAAGTAGATGACAAAATAGTGAATTGATCTCCTTTCCTGAGAAAGGGGTGGATTTGAAATTGTTGGATATACGATTTTATTTGATAGGTAGGTCTTCTTTCTATCTAACTTCCAGAAAACTCGAAAGTTTTTTCTGCATAGTCAGATATTAGAAAGAAATGTATATTAACTTATGCCTTAGGTAGCACAATATTGGTTTCGCACAAATTTACCTCATTTTGTTATCTAAAAGAACTGAATAGGTCAGTTGAAAAAACTTTTTAATAAACCAGCTGAGCGAAATTTTAATACTTGTTGATGCAATGTTTAAGAAGTGAGAATATAAAAGTAAGCCAATAAGCCTTTGTTTAAGGACGTTGGCTTCCAGCGCTACCTCTTCTTTCGGTTAGCTCTCTTATAAAAATTTCAGGGATAATATTGGTCTCTTATCTTGTCTAAAGATGAACTGAGAAGTAAGCTAAATTCACACACAAGGCAAAATGTCTGTCTCGGATCCCATAGCAAATTTTACTTGTACATATCTGCTTAAGGAAACAAATAATGTGAGAGAAGAATTATTCCTTTTTAACTAGTTCCTCGTCAGTGGCTCTATACTAATGTGTAGCATCCTCATAATATAAAATACGTACCAGTCTAGTGATGATAACCGTTTTATAATAGGTAATCTATCTTTGAAATGCACGGACGACACCATCTATAATTGCAATCAAGATTACAGCGTGTCTTTCCAATTGTAAATCAATTTTTTTCGCTCAGCATAAGTGGTGAATCTATCCTCATACTACACGTATCCAATGCGTTATTTAAAAAGCTATAAGACAGTAGAACATTTTATACATTAGAAAATTTTTTATGCATATATTATATTACAGGTGATGGTAATTTTTCGAAAAAAATAAGTTTCTACATATGCCTGAAATATTAGTGAGTGATACTTGCTTAGATTTCCTGCAAACATTTCTCTCTATAAGTTTAATTTTGTCATGAAAACAAAAACCACTTCAAAAATGTTTATTGACATTATTTACTAGCTGACAGAATTTGTGAACATGAAATTATCACCAACTAACAATATATGAAAGTTATGCAGTTAAACCATAACAACGTCTCTGGAAATTGGTGAATCCATTTTATTCCCTTTGACTATGATGAACCAGAGTTCATAGATTACCAACGTAGAAAAGTCAACGTAAGTATGGGTTCCTGGTGCATACGTTTACTTTCTAAAAACAGAGAATGGAGGATAAAAATTGTCAGCAGAGCCATTCCCGCAGAAGGTAAATCTCAGCTTCTCCTTCTAATTATCTAACATTTGGTCAGGGCCTAATGTTTCCAGCTCCACTAGTTATTCACCCAACGAAAATTTATCTTCTGTCGCAGTGGGACGAAGCTACAAAACTGTGGGTGGTTTTCTGTCCACATATGCAGAATATTCTGCTAAAGAAGCTGTAGCATACACAGTGAAAAGTTCAGAAAAATCTTGTTTTCTATTTTTAAACACACTGGGATTATATTAAAACTTACCTATTTAACTGGTTTTAGTATAATTGTTTCTAGATCATAGTGTCCTTGATTGGACCAAATTGATCGGTTTGTATTAGCACATGGGCTGCTGTGCGAATGTCTCGATATTGCCAGCGTTCCAATTATGTTAATGATGGATCGTGGCTAGCAGTGGTGGATAACGCGCTGGCGTTTGAAGCGATCGCTCCCGAGTTCGAATCCCAAGCGGAACAACATCACTCACTGGGAAGCAGGTACATCCAGCCGAAAAGTCCCAAATAGGGCGAAATGCGCATCCTGGATTCCACTGCTAGCCATGATTAATCATTAACATAACTGGTTTTAGTTTGTTCGTTTATTCACTTCCTTTTTGGCTTGCATACTGCCAGCAGCTGTTCTTGCCAATTCGGGTGAGTAATTTGTCATTGT